CGGCACGCCTTAGCGTCCGGTTCTTCTGCTGTGCGTGAGACTTCCCAGAGCAGGTTGCAACGAACCGAGCGCTATTCCGCGACTCGCGCGCCGAGCATCGCTACTTCGTTGAACCGATCGACGTTGCGATGCCCCGCCCAGGCGACGCCGCGTAGCAGCAGCGTGCGGTAGACTGGGTCGTCGAACGTCCACATGTAGTGGCCCGGGATCGAGACGAAGACGCGGCCGCCGCTGGCGTGCTCCATCGTCCAGAAGAGCGGCTGCGGAGCGCCGTCCTCGACGCCGGCGCCGAGCAACGTCAGCCGCGAGGGGTCGCCCGTTAGCGCCCAGTACGACTCATCGGTCCACCGCGCGCGGTGCAGGTTGCGTGCGACCGGGTGGCCGGCGCCGGGCGTGAAGTCGAGGTCGAGCTCGCCGTGGCGGTACTTGATGCCGCCGCCCCCCTTGGCGGAGAGGCCGATCCGCTCGGCCATCTCCTGCTCGCCGCCGCGGCCATCGACGGCCCAATGGATGTAAACCAAGCCGCCGCCACGATCTAGGAAGGGGTCGATCACCGCCGCCCGCTCGTCGTCCCAACGACCCCGCTGGTAGAACACCATCACATCAGCGCCATCGGCTTGCTCGGCGGTCGGAAACTCCCACGCCGAATCGACCTCAACGCCGGGCGATCGCGGCAGCAACTGCGACCAGACGTCGAGCCAGCTGGGGTAATCGTGCTCGCCGGCGTCGTGGTCCTTTGGGCCCGCCACGAGCAGCACCCGCAGCGGCTTGCCCGCGCGGTCGGCTTCGACCTTGTTCTGGTCGGTCCCCGAGTGCAGCGCTTCGACGGCGTCCTCCGACGCCGGCTCGGGGATTGCGTCTTCATCGCTGTAGACCGGCATCTTTGCCGAGGACTCCTCGCCGAGCACACGGTCGAGCTCCGCCTTGATTTGCGACGACCACAGCTCGTAGCCCGCGTCGTTGAGGTGCAGTCGGTCCGCGCGGTAAACGTCGCTGCGGGCGTCGCCGTTGTCGAGCAGGTACTCGTCGGCCGTGTCGAGGTAGTAAACCCCAGCCCGTTTGTCGCACTCGGCCTTGAGGGCGGCGTTGACCGCCTTGGTCTTGTCCCACACGTGATGGCGCGACGGCGTCGGCCGCACGTCGCAGCAGATGACCGGCGCGTCGGGCTCGTGGCGACGCAGCACGTCGGCGACGTAGCCGAACCACTCCGCCACCTCTTCAGGCGAACGGTCCCCGGCGCCGCCCGTCACGTCGTTCGCACAGAACACCACCGCCGCGCGGTACTGGTGCGGCGAGACGATCCGCTCGGCGTAGTGGGCGAGGTCCGCGAAGCTCGCGCCGCCGTAGCCCCGCTCGATGACGGGGTAGGGCGCCAAGTCCTCGGCCGCGGTCTTCCAGAGCCGGATGCTCGAGCTGCCGATCAGCAGCACTGCGTCCTCGGGGTCGGGGTTCGCCGCGTCCTTCGCTTCGAGCCGCGAAACCTCGTCCTCCCAGCCCGCGATCGACTTGGCGTACTTCGACAGATCGGGAAGCCGCGGAGCCTCACCGCAGGCGACCGCGCAAGTGGTGAGGATCGCGAAGCAAATGCCGAACGATGACCGAAACGTCATGACACAACGCAGGCGTTTGAACAGGAAGGATGGCGCTACGACGAACGAAGCCGTAACAGAACCGCCATTTTACCATAACGCCGGTGAGACTCACCTCGTTTTAGCCACTACTTCGCACTTTCTGCGAAGCCCCTTACGCCCCAACAGAAGGCGCCTAACGGATCCGATCTTCGGGCGGCCGGCGGCCGATCGGCACCGTCGCGCGGATGCGTGTGCCGTTACGGATCAGCTCGATCTCGACCCGCTCGCCGACCTCGCTAAGGTTCACCAGATTGAAGAGATGATCGAAGTCCTCGATCGTCGTGCCGTTGTAAGTCAGCAGGATGTCGTCCTCGCGCAGCGCCGCTTGGGCCGCTGGCGAGTCGGTCTTGATCGCGGTGATACGCGCGCCGAACAGCCGCGGCAGGCCCGCCGAACGGGCCCGCTGTTCGTTGAACATCGCGTCGAACTCGACGCCGAGGTAGCCACGCTGCGCTTCGCCGTTCTCGATCAGCTGGCCCGCAATGCGGGTCGCCAGGTTGATCGGGATCGAGAAGCCGATCCCCTCGTTTCCGCCGCTGGAACTAGCGATCGCCGTGTTGAGGCCGACGACCTCGCCGCGGAGGCTCACCAGCGGACCGCCCGAGTTGCCCGGGTTGATGGCCGCGTCGGTCTGCAAGAAGTTCTGCAGCTCGACCTCGCCGTCGCCCAGGTCGAGGTTGTAACGACCTTTGGCGCTGACGATGCCGCGCGTGACGCTGTGGCTGAGGCCGAAGGGGCTCCCGAAGGCCATCACCTGTTCGCCGATCTCGAGCTGCGAGCTGTCGCCGAGCACCGCGGGCACGAGGCCAATGGCGTCCGCTTTGCCAACCGACATCACCGCGACGTCGGTCTCGCTGTCGCTCCACAACTGTTCCGGGCGGAACGGACGACCGTCGACCAACTGCACACGGATATGACTCGGTGACGAGTGCTTGATGACGTGGCGGTTGGTCAGCACGTAAGGCTTGCCGCGGAAGTGGACGATGACGCCCGATCCCGCCTCCTGCCCTCCGCGGACGCGGTGTTCGTTGATTGGCCGGGCTTCGATGTGAACGACGCTCGGCGCAACGAGCTTGGCGACGCGTTTGAAGATGCCCAGCTCCGACTCCAACGCCGCCACGTCGCGCGCCAGGGCGCGGAACTCGTTGGCGCGTGTCTCGAGCGTGAGCGGCTCGATCTTCGCTTCAAGCGAGTCCACCGCCACGAGCCGTGGCGAAGCCTGATCGACCGCCGTCGCGGCCTCTTGAGCCACGGCGGGCGATCCGAGAGCCGCGATCACGACGCTCAAGACGATCGCCGCCGGGGACGATTTACGGACGACGTCCGACATAGCAGGCAAGGGAAGCGGGCAAGGAGACAGGTGTGCGGCAGGACACGATGCGGAACGGGGCCGCGACGCCCTGGCGTCCCGACCCCGTAGTCTAGCGGATTGTTGTCGGCTTTCGACGCCGGAGAGCAGTTACTGCAACTCGAAATCGTTGACGCGGCTATCGACCTCGGAATAACCGGTATCGACGACGCGACTCCAATCTTCGGGCATCCGATCGTCCAGCGTGCCGTCCTCGGCCGCTTGTTGACACTCGATGCACATGGTCGCGTAGGGGAGGGCGTTCAGCCGAGCCAGCGCGATCTTCTTGTTGCAGATCTCGCAGTCGCCGTAGTGGCCCTGTCGGATCCGGTCGAGAGCCTTCTCAATGCTCCCCAGCTCACGGCTTTCAACTTCGGCCAGCTGCGAACTGATCTCGTCTTGGGTGGCGTCGAGGGCGGCGTCGACGATGTCGCCGCCGGACTGCTCACGCAGTTGCATCAGCATGCTGAGGTCCCCCGCGAGCGCCTTACGGAGCGCGTCACGTCGGGTCGCCAGCAATTGCTGGATCTTCTTGATCGAGTCGTTACGGGTGCGGGACATGTTTGGCGCCTTCTCGTAGCGCCCTCCCGGTCAAGCCGCGTGGTGCGGCGGTGTGCGGGCAGGGCCTTGTTTGCTGTTCCAGGTGCAGAGCGCGCCAGTCCGGGTAGTGGAGCCACCCGACAGGACCGCTTTGCAAGCTTAGTACGCGTTGACCGGCAGATGGGTTGCTGAGTTCGGTTCGGATTCTGGGTTTCCGTTTATTCCCCTCTTGCGGGTGGTAGCGGCTATCCGCGGACCCCTCGTGGACGGATCGGCAAAATGACCGACGAAACCAGCCGATGCCCGCGATCCACAGGCTTTCTTACCGGGGTCGTTGTTTTGACCACCCCGGTTCGGCGAGCTACATGCTGGTGTCCGGTGCGCCTGCCACGAGCCGGACGGCCGGCCTCCCCAACAAGGCCCACCCCCGAAAAGGCAATCCAAGATTGCCGCCTCGGCCCGACTGCCTACCGCTCTTGCACCATGACGACCCTCGCCCCTCCCGCCAGCCCGACAGCCGCCGAGGCCGACCGCATCGCCCGATTGGCGTTGATCGACGCCGGCGGGACGAACCTCGCCGACCTGACCGACCAGCCGCAGACGATCGGCGGCGGTCCGCGCTGCTCGGTGCGGCTCGACGCGACGGGCCTGCGGCCGCTGCACTGCGTTATCACGCCTAGCCAGGAGGGTCCGGTGGTCCGCCGCT